TTTGACAAATATTATCTCTTTTGATTCTTGCAACATCCCTGTAAGGTAATGTTGAGGTTTAGGGGTGCTAGGACCCTGAAATAGCGACACATGGATCCTGCCTGAATGAATTTGACCCAAGCCTTCTTTCGCCCAAAGACAAGATTTATTAGAACACCCATAGAAGGTGGGTGTGTGATTCTAAAAATCCACCCTGATGGCCAGACTCTTAAGAAATCTAAGCATTTGTGTTGCAAGGGGGCCAGACTGAATCTGAGCCCTTTAATGGTGGCAAGATGGATCTTATATACAGTAAGTCTGTGTGAAAGATCTAGGAGTGGCCAAGTAGTCTGAGGTGACTAGGAGGTAACAGAGAAGGGCTGGACACCTGAACCACGTGGCCAAGGGAGAATGGAGTCTAGATAGAACTAAGGGTGGGAAGTGATCAGGGGTGATTGGGAGGTAACAGACAATGAAGGTTGGGCTGGGTCAGAGGTAACAGAATTGTTACCAAGTGGCCAGGGGTGATTGGGAGATTGGATGTATCCACAATGAAAGCCAGTTGGGAGGATTACTGAGATCATGCCTCAGGCCAACCCCTGAGACTTGACCATGTGGGAAAGTTCAAGGAAGTTGGAGGGTGGTATTTCCAGGGCCTATACCCTGTCAGTAGGTGCTATTATTATCCCCATTTTACAGGTGAGGAAACTGAGGCAAACAGGTGAAGTTGACTTGCCTGGGGTCACACAGCTGTTACTGTCAGAGGCTGGATTTGAACTCAGGTTTTCCTGACTCCAGACCCTTTGCTATGGCCACTGTGTCACCAGCTGCTGTAATTCGTAGAGAGCTGGTCTTAGAGTCATGAAGACCTGTGTTCAAGTATTGCCTCTTATACACATATTAGCATATACACATACTGTGTGAGGATGACAGATCACTTCATCACTTTGTGTCCTAGGTAACTCTCTTGGACTGTACATTACCAGAAGACTGTACATTAGTACAGGAAGTGTCCACACTTGGAAGTCCCCACACTGAAGAAATTACAGATCTATCCTCTGCCCCTTCACCCCTGCCTATCAAAAAAACATTCTATTTCATTCAGGAAACATTAATAAAATTACTTTTCTGTGCAGGATACTGTGTTAGGTGCTGTAAGAAATAAAAAGTTTAAATTAGAAAACCATTCTTGCTCTTACAGTCTAGTAAAGAGTGATGGCCTACAAATAACTAATACAGAATAATACATGCTTAGTGAGTAAAAGAGGTTCAAAGTGATATTTCCAAGAAAGGAAAAGGGAATCAACCACCATAGGGACCAGGAAAGCTTTATGGAGTAGACCACATTTAAGGTGGACTTCAAAAGTTAGGTAACAATTCAACAGGCCAAAGAAAAGGATGGAAGGACATTGAAAGTATAAGAAGCAATGTTAGTAAAGTCACCAAGGCAGGAAGGAACCTCCTAATGTAGTTTACTTAGCCCTTAGAGTAGTGAGATAAGGTGAATGGTATGGAATGGTATGGAATAAAGCTAGAAAGATGGGAGGAGGGGGTGAGTGTAATGTGGTTTAAGGGTTCAGGGGTGCTGGAACCCCAATATTACAACATGCAGGTTCTGCCCGAAAGAATTCGACCCAAGTCTTCTTTCAGCCAAAGACAAGGTTTATTACAACATCCATCATATTGGGGAAACTCTTAAGGAGCAAAACATTAGTAAGTTATTGGCTAGATTATAAGAATCTAAGCAGTGGCTAGATTTTAGGAATCTGAGCAGTGGCTAGATTTATTAATGGAGACAAGATGGACCTTATATATAGAAAGACTGTGGGAGGGATCTAGGAGTGGCCTAGTAGTCTATGAGGTAATAAAATTCCAGGGACCTGGACCATGTGGCCAAGGGAGAATGGAGAAGTGGCCTGGGGCCATAGGGAGGTCCACAATGAAAGGCCAGTCGATGGGATTATAGCCTCAGGGGAATGCCAGATTTGGCCTTGTGTGAAAGTCCAGGGTTTTTCCTTTCTGGGGCCCAGATCCCAACCCCATCAGGTGTGTCAGATTTTGGGAGGCTTTGAATAACAAGCTAAGAAATGTAAATGTAAATTTTGGTTAGTGGGCAAGAAATAGACGTTAGGAGAGTCACTTCACTTTTGTGGGCCTCAGTTTCCTTATGTATAAAATGAGGGGGTTGGACCAGATCACCTCCAAGTTTCCTTTCAGCTCTAAATCTGTGATACCAAGAGGTTTTGAGCAGAGCTGTGTATAAGAAAGATTAGACTGTCATAGTGTAAAATAATTAGAAGTCGAGGCAAGGAGACACTGAATATTGAAAAGAATATTAGGAAGTTTTAATAGTCTGGGGCAGGTAAGTCAAGTCTACCCTGTACTAGGATAGACTAATAAAAGTGGAATATGGAGGAAAGGATGGATGCAAGAGTTATTGTAGAGGCAGAATCAACATGACTTGGATAGTGAAGGGAGGGAAGACACATTTATACAGTACTTACCTATTGTGTGCTGGGCCCTGTGTTAAATGCTTTTTACAAATATTATTTCATTTTATTTTTCACAACAACCCCCTGAAGTAGGTGCTGTTATCATTCCCCTTTTATTGTTGGTTTGCTTGTTAGCTGATTGGAGAGCAGAGGGAGAGAGGAACAAGTGAAAGGTAATATAAATGTTTCAAACATGAGATTGCATGGATGGTGATGCTATTGGAAAAAAATAAAGTGAGAAGGAGTAGTAGGTTTTTGGGGAAAGATAAGTTTTGGATGTAAGCTTGAGGCGTATAGGAATATATCCTGCATACAGTTGGAAATCTAGGTGTGGAACACAGAAGATAGGACGAAGTTTATATACATATATCTATATATATGCATATATATATATATATCTATGATGGGGTCTAAGGTTTAGGGGTGCTGGGACCCCAAGATCATGACACGCAGGTCCTGCCCGAAAGAATTTGACCCAAGCCTTGTTTCAGCCAAAGACAAGATTTATTAAGGATCTGCCACATTGGCCAGACTCTTAAGGAATCTGAGCACCTGTGAGCTATTGGCAAGATTGTAAAAATCTGAGCATCTTAATGGAGACAACGGGGACAAAAAGACTATGGGAGGGATCTAGGAGTGGCCGAGTAGTCTATGAGGTAATACAACTTCAGGGACCTGGACCATGTGGCCAAGGGAGAATGGAGCCCAGATGGGATTAAGGGTGGGAAGTGGCCTGGGGCCATAGGAAGGTAAGACAATGGAGTAGTCTAGGTCTAAGGTAAAGGAGAATTGGGAGATTGGGTGTAGCCACAATGAAAGGCCAATTGATGGGAATTATAGTTTCAAGGGAATGGCCAGAGATTTGGCCTTGTGGGAAAGTCCAGGGTTTTTCCTTTTTGGGGTCTAGATCCTATCCTCATTATTGGAAGCAATTTTCATATATGTGCAGTAAAGGTTGTGGTAATTCAATGAATTTGCTAAGAGAAAGGATTGAGAAGAGACACTTCTAAACTAGTGAAAGGAACAGAGAAACGGAGTTTATAATTAGGGTTGGGTGCTGGGACTTTTTCCCAGGGTGATGATTGGGGGAGGAGAGACTTGTCCTTCCCTGACCCCCTAATCCTCAGCTGTCCATACATCATGGTCCCTGGCATGGAGCGTACAACTGGTCCCTATACTTATTCAACTCTTTTCTAGGGGGCTGCCTTCCCCCAGCAATAATAGAAGTAACAAGGTCAATGTGATTCAGTGGTTCAGTTTATGCACTGATAAGGAAGACTTGGGGTAAGAACAATGTCAAAGAGTTTTTGATTAACTCATTAATCCTTTTAATGAGTTAATTTGCTGAGGTCACATTGTTTTAAGATAAGGGAGAGGAGACTTCTAATCATGCTGAGCATAAAACTGAAGAAAACAATATAGAATTTTAAACTAATTTTTGCTCTTTTCTCTTAAAATGTTACTGCAAAACTTCTGTTCACTGGATTAGAAAGGCAAAACCATGAAAGTTATTTTGGAATAATAAACCCCTCAAGCAGATATATAATAGATAATTAGATAGATATGGATATGAATGTAGGTGTAGGTACAGATGAAGATGTAGATATAGATATCATTACCGTCGAGGGGGTGTGTAAAACTTGCACAAATCAAAAAAGTATTTGTGGGCGGGCACTTCGGAAACATTAAGTTTCAGGGGAAACATGACGGAATTTTAGAAACACAGTTGGGGGTAGAGTGGGGAATAGAGAAGAAACGTATGGAGGCTGAGAGCGTCAGTTCATTGTAGCATCGAGGGCACTCTTTATCCCTGATTGGTGGGACTGTCCATATTTATCTCTATGGCGTCATTAGCTACTTGTGGGTAAGAGGCCACGTCTCCATGACGTCACATGTCCCTGGCCAATGAGAAGCCTTGGTTTGCAGGACTAGACTAGGGCTGTGGGCATTATTTGTGAATGAAACTCCACCGAATTCCCCTCCAGGGGACCCCCAGTAGCTGCTGGCCCCGGTGCACTCAACCTTCTCACCTACCGGGGCTGTAGCAGCCTTAATAACTGCTGTGTTACCATCATAAAGCAGCCCTCTACCATCATCACCACCTTCAAGCTGCAGGGAACGTGGGGGCGGGTTAAAGAGAGGAGGAGGAGAAGAAGGAGGAGCTGCCGCTGTTACTGTTACTGCTGCCGCCGCCGCCGAGGGGGCTGCGGGCAAAAGGAGGCGGTGGCGAACTAGGGGCTTCCTAGTCTGGTAGCTGAGGCTGTAGTGTGAAGAGGAGCGTTAACTTGGGCTCCTCCTCTTCTTTCCTCCACCACTTCCTTCTGCTTGTCGCTGCTCCTCCTCCTCCTCCTTCCCCCCACCTAACTGCGGAGGCAGCTGTCCCCCCACCCCCCAGCTCCACCACCACCGCCAGAACCCCTCCACCGTCACCAACGCCACCACCGACGCCACTACCACCGAGCACCATTGCTTCCCATTCCCCACCCCCTCGCTCCCGCCCCCTGCTTTTTCTCCTCCTCTGGAGTGCATTGGTGCGGGGCTGGCGACGGCTACGGCCTCACGGGCGGGAGCTAAGGGCAATGGTCGTGGGTCCCTGGACGCACCGCGCTCGGCTCCATGAAGCGGAAGAACGAGAGGCAATCCTCGAGCTGGCTCAAGGTCTCCAACACCAAGAGCTCGCTGGACTTATTGGGAGCCAAGAAGAGCAGGAACTCGACCTCACAGGACCTGGTGGAGCTGGAGCAGGAGGACATTTACTTGGACATCACCGGTAAGAAGCGCAGCTGCAGAAGTGAATGTGTACCCCGTCCCGCCCCTCCTAGGTGCCACGCAGATTAAGGATTGTTTGGGGGGGATGCTGGTGAAGGAGGCGGAGGGGCGTGGCGGGTGAACCCCTTCACTACTCCCAGTCATCTCCGGGCGGGGGTCACACAGACCCCTTTCCTTGAAGCCGTGCTCACCAGCCCCCTGTTGCTTTGCGACTGGTTCAGGTGCTCTTTGGCATTTGCGGGAGCCAGGAGATGGAAAGGGAATCCAAACCCTTTGAATCACCCCTCACCCTTTGGGTATTCCTCACCCCTCTTATCTTTTACGGTCCTGAGGTACAGCCCCCAGGCCTCACCTTCCCCCCATCCCCGCCCCCTCCTCCAGTTTCTGTTTCTTCCAGCTGCAAGCCAGGAACTATTCCATCTTGCTCTTACCCTACCCTCCTCCGCTGGCCCAGTCCCTTCTTTTAGGACAATGAGAAATAAGCAACTTGGCACCTATGGTTGTGTTGGTTGAACAGAATCGAAATGGATTTCAAACTTGGAGCTTTAGTCTGTGGGGAACCTAACACTTTTTCCCATCATCTCCGGCTTTTTCGGAGTTCTTGCATGGAATCGGGCTGCCAGCCAGGGTTTGGAGAGCCTGGCGCACATGTTAGTTTTAAACATCTTAAGGAACTAAATTGTTTCCTTGAATCCTTTTAGGAGAAAGAGGCTTTTGCATCTAGTTCAGAAGATACCCCGTTTGCTTTTTGCTGGGCTATCCAGTTTTTTAGTAGGAAATCAGCTAGAGAAGGTTGTGCAGTCACCAGTCGTACAGCATTCCTGAGTCATAGCACTAAGGCCCAAACACTCATTTTCTTTGGCTGTTTTGGTGTTTCCCTCCCCTCCCTTTCTTGCTTCCCCCCAAAACAACAAACAAACAAACAAACAAAGCTATGACTGGGCTCTAGTGCTTGAAAAGGAAATCTGTTATTTTGATGGCATTTAGACTAGTCAAGTTCTCACCGCAGTTTGTCAGTTCTAAAAAAGCAGTCCTTTGATATCTGTACCCATTACTGAACACTTTAATAAAGCCAAGCTAGCAAATAGAGGTCAGATTTCCCAAACCAACAGAAAAGGTTAAATGCATTTTGTACAGCCTGTATATCATATCTACTTTGTTTTTAATTCCATTTTTTTTTGCATCATATATCACCTTAACCTCAAAAAACCAGGCATATGGTAGCTTTTCCTAATACTAATATAGAAATGGAAGATTTTTAAAAATGAATTTAGTAGGAAAGTAATGATATACCATATCTTAATTAACAAATTCCCTGCAAACAATTATGCTTTTAACAGCACTCTGGGTAGATAGTGAGATGGAGAAAGTTCTAGGCTCTTGCTGGACACAGGGTTAGTGGCTGAGAGGGAGAGGCAGTGAGGTTTCTCAAACTGAGGCCTCTTATAGGCATAGCTGCAGGGTTTTCAACCCCTACTCATTTTTGGGGTAGTTACTCCGGAGGTCACAGAATGGGAGAAACTATACCCAAGAGACTGGACCACTCCCTTTCTCTCTTCCTTACCCCCCCACCCTCACCCCAGGGGCTAGAGAGGAAAAACCTTTTCTAGGAAGAAGCTCCATTCCTACACAAAACAAGGAAGTGAATCCTTAAACCTGAAAAGCTATCCCATCCTGCCCCCCCACCTTTTTTTTCAACCTCTAGAAGTGAAATTTCTAACCCCAGCATATGTCACTGGAATGCACCCTCTTCCTTAATAGAGATATTGCTATATCACATTAAGGGTTTTGTGAGGATGTGGCAAGTATGGAAAGCCTTCAGAAAGATAGCCAGGAAATATTTTCCTTTCTGGTTGCTTAATCAGACATTGAGGGAGAAAGTCTATTGTGTCATTTGAAATCCAGATGCATTTTTTCAGATTAAAAAAACCTGGCAAGATGAGATGTGAAGAGATGAAACTAGTCTGAGTAGAGTAGACTCTTTAAGGAAGGCTTCCCTGATGGAAAATCATCAGATTTCTTGAATTTTCTCTCTGCTCTATTTTGGAAGTTGGTAAAAGGGAAGAGAATCGGATATTGTATAATCATTCTGTTTTAACATAATTAAAAATAAAAATTTTAAAGTAATTTGTTTGCAAGTTTTAAATTACCTTTAGTTAACAAGACCAACGAGACCAGGTTCAGGTTTTACTTTGACCCTCATGCTTTCTACATTGTTCAAAACTACAATCTACTTTCTTTATTTTGACTTGTTCTTCCTTTCATTTCAAAAGATTTCAAAGCTCTTTTCTGCAAACTTTTGAAACTTCTAAGAAGCTTATTCTGCTGTTCCACCTTTAGAGAAATATGTCAAGAAAAATTTTTGTTGTTAATTACTCACATACCTGGGGCTTATTGGCACTAAAATTTGGTTATAACTGAAAAATATCTTGAGAAATTAAGCGGAAATAAGGATTGGGGTTTGTTTGTTTTTTTGGTACAGTGTTCAATATTTATATTGACTCTGCCTGCACTCTTTCCTTAAACATTTAAAAAATGAATTTCATTATTTAAAAATAATCCCCACTCTTCTATAAGTTTACAGTATCAATTAATATAGTGTGCCCACTACACAGGCACACAGTTTATCTTCTTTTCACAATATACTTTGTAGGATCTTGAGGAATTTCTGCTGCTTTATATAGCTGTTTGTTTCCAATTCAACACTCCAGAGATAACAGTTTACTCCATACTGTCCTTAGAGATTTTTTTCTAGGGTAGGAAAGGATAGAAGACTATTATAGATAGTAGGGAAAAGACTCTGTCCCTTTAGCAAGGACACTTTCCTAAATAAGTCTTCATATTATATGAAAAAGAGACAACAATAAAAACAAATTCTTTATCAAACCATTTTAAAAAAATTACTATGGCCTATGCGACATTTTGATATTTAGCATGGCATTCAAAAGGGAGAAAGGTATAAAAGATTAGAATCACCTAGAAGACCTTATATTTAAGGAGACAAAAGTATATTTAAATGAAGCAGGGAATAACTAAATTGCAACATTTAAAACCATGCAATGTAACCTAGTATTGACTGTATATATGTGTGCTGAGTAGACATGGATTATGTGACTAGGCAGAGTGAGGTGGTGTATTAATCAAGGGAGGCTTTTTTTTTTTGAGGCAGTGAGTTTTGATCTGGGTCTATAAGGCCCCTTCTAGTTATAAAATGCTGTCATCCTTCCACTGAAAGGAAAGAAGCCATTTCATGTAGAGAGGAAACAAGCAATATGTTGAAAATAAGGTAAACTGAAGTGGAAAAGAAACTGTTAGGGAAAGTTGTTTTGTTTTGTTATGGTCTGGACCTGTGTGAAAGCATGAGCAATGACAGTCTGACCCAGGTTCCTCCCCTTTTCCTTTTTAATGCCATCAGTAAATCTTTTTTTTTTTTAATGACTAGGAAAATAACTATTACATTTTTATAATACATTGAAATCATTCAGAGACTTGATTTTTGTATTTTGTACTGCAGTTGCTAAAGAAAATTGGCAATATATATGCAGGTTAAGGAAAGATTTAGGATATTGTGGGTTTTTTTTTAATATATATCCTACTTGGTGAGTTTTTTCCTAAATATCTCATCTAATTTTACATCTTTTGACATGTTCACATTTCTTAACACACACTTTATCAAGAGTTGATATATTATATGCCAAGACTGTAATTCTTTTTAAAGCCCTCATTACACGACTTATTCCTTATGCATGATGTTATGCTGAATATGCTAGAGGAAAAGATATAATTGATAAATCCCAAGAACTTAAAGAATTTATAGTCTACAACCTATGACATTGATAAGAACAAATGTGTAAAAGGTTATATATACTCAGAGACCATTGAATAGACATTAATATGTATGTATGCAGTGGTGCAAGCCTTTTTTTGTGATAGAAAATGAAGAGTATGATGGGGATTTTATTTTCAAATAAAGTAGAATCCAGGGGCAGTATTCATTTCTCCATTAGTTTTCAAAGGTTTTATGGAGGAGATTGAGCAGAATCTCAGAGTTTCAAGAAACCTCAGATGATCTAGTCCAATCTTTCCTTGAACAAGAATCTCTTTTACAATGCAATTGACAAGTCATCATCCATCCTTCAGTTAGTACAGAATCCACTATGTCCTGAGACAGCCCATGCCAATTTTTTTTCTTTTTCAAATTTAATTAATTTTTAGTTTTCAATATTCACTTTTATCAGATTTTTAGTTCTTAAGTTTTCCCCCTCCCTTCCCTTTCCCATCACCAGGATGGTATACAATCTGATACAGGCTATACGTGTATGATCATATTAAATATATTTCCACATTAATCATGTGGTGAAAGAGGAGTCAGAACAAAAGAGAAAAATCATGACACAGAAGTAAAAAACGAAAAGCAACAAAAAAAGAGAAAATAGTATGCTTCTATCTGCATTCAGACGCCATAGTTCTTTCTCTGGATATGGATAGCATTTGCTAGCTATCATGAGTCTTTTGGAGTTGTCTTAGATCATTCCATGCCAATTTTTGATAGGAAGTTTTTGTAATAAAGTTTTTCTTACATCAGTTGTAATTTTGTAGTTTGTAATTTTTCCTCTTTGCATCTTATACCCATAACCCCACTGTGAGGTTAGTTTCCCTGACTCCTGGGGTTGAGCAGAACAAGCAGAACACTAATCCAAGGCTATACAGGATAGCTCTTGAATACAAGGATCATATAGTCCCTAAATATGCTTCTCTTCTCTCCCCCCCCACTAAAGTATCCCTAATTCCACAACTGATTCTCATCCCAGTCATCTTTCTCTAGATCCATGCCAGTTGATTGGTGTGCTTCCAAAAAACGTGGACATAACACACCAATTGTAGCCTGCTGAGGGCAGTATGTAGATGAACTATTCTTCCTCTAGGCTTGGACATGATCCTTTTCTTTGTGGAAGCTTGATGTCATTAGCTTTTTTTCTACTCTCTTCTATTAACTCATGT